GCATCGAAAGATGTATTGAGGCATTTTCTATTTTACTATAGCTTTTCGATTTTTGAAAAACTAACTGAACTTTTTCTCCTAAGCATAAAAAGAGAATTGAGTCCGAGTACTTGTTGACGTTGGGTTGAAAGGCAAACAATTTATATATATTTACGGAGAACGACAGTAAATAGCAGAGAAACCACTGCCTCCATTCTAGCCGTTCTATAAATAGAGAACTCTTTTATTTAGTTTTACTTAAACTGATGTGGCAGTCTTCCAATTTTCTAAATCAACCTGACATGAGGTTAATGTGACATAAGACATGAAAAGCGAATTTCACATAGAATTTAGCGACACCAGAATGGACTGATTTTGAATGAACTGCATTAGTGTACTTTAAAGATATACTTTTTCTCGGATTAGTTTTAATAATTATATTGCCTAATATTCCAATTGAACCATTTTAATTTTGCGAATAAAACATCTTACAGAAAATTAAATAAAATATATTCAGATATAAGTTGTATTTTAATTGCAAAACTAGTTATTTGAACTCCTTAAATTTTAATTTTGTAAATTTTTGGATAATACATAGAGTTAACATATCCTGGGGCTTATAATGGTGACCTGTTCTCACGCAATGTATTGCTTTCGTAAAAAATACGTGTTCTTTTCTCATTTAGCTACTACTCTGTTTTCGTGATGGTTTCCAACTTACTTACCTTGCTATGATGCATCGTAATATCAAAAAGTTTAATTGAATTAATCTGTTAAAAATTGCTGTCACTATCCCTCTTAAATACTTTCACCTTTATCGTTAACAATTACTATCACATTTATAGGATGATTATAAATCACAGGAATATTTTGAGTAACTTTCATATTTCATAATCTTATTTTACGATAATTTGAAAACAGTGCACATTAGTTCATGCAATTGAGGATACCCATACTGGTGTTCAGTGATGCCTGTTAGCTTACATTATTCAATTGCTTTTGATAAAATTGTTGAGAAAAGAAGGTATATTCATCATGTTTTGATCATTAAAACGTTTTGGAAACGTTTGTGTGTGTATGTGTGTATTTAATTATGGCAAAGCGCACTAGGGCTATCTGCCTAAGGGGACGTATGCCTTCGTGGAGGACTTTCTAAGGAAAACTGGCTCGTATGCACGTTACACATGGGGAAAACCACGAAAACACCCATGCAGCCAAGCCGTTCACGGGATTCGAACGTCGGACCGAACTACCAGTGTTAAGCGACTTTACCGCTCGGCCGCTGGTGAGCCGGAAACGTTTGTATTTTAACTCCTGTTATTAATGCAAGAGCATCCATTTCTTCTAACACGAATAAATATACTCTTAAATGGCTAAAACGGCATAGTTTGAAGAATTAGTTGTAAACCTTTCATTTGTGAAATATTTTTAACTTGCAGATTTTAGTGAGCTCAACTGCTAATAATTCAGTTAAAGGTTATTATGAAAGAAAAGCTTGAAATTTTAGGACATGTCTTCTTTGACGATTTCCTTAGATTTTATTGAAAGACCTTGCGAACATGTTTACTTTCTTTTCAGATACGCGACATTATTCAGGTCGGATATCTTTATTCCAAACAGTTTCTTTAGCTGATAGAAATCTTAATTAAAATTTGTCCAAATTACATAAAAACATTGAAATACATTTAATTACAGGATTTGTACTTAATAACAAAACCAGTATTCTTGCAAATTAGACATAAATTAAATTATTTTTATAGTTCTGTTATATTCATGCTGTTGCAACCCAACAGCCTGAGCAGGCATATCTTAAAAAACAGCTGAGAGAAGGTCTCCTCTGGAAATCATCATAGCTCGTTTTCCACGCTTACTCTGTAGAATGTAAATCTGAAAGGATGTAACTGGTCGCTATTTCCTCAGGAGTTGATTTTCCGTTTACCAATTCTATGAAAAATATAGCATCCTTACTGCCCTATTCTTTTGCGCAAGGGCTTTTTCGTAAAAACTAGGCATGATGTCATTTGAAAACTTAAAATTTCCGTTGGAACATCAAAAGGAAAAGAAAATCGTTTCTATTTCAGACGAAATTTTTGCAGTTGCAATATTTTAACTGTACATCGTCATAAATGTTTTGCTAGTTATTCCGTTAAAATGGTGGGATTTATGCAGCTCCATAGATGATTAAATACCAAGAATATATCGTTAACGTTTCTCAGTACTTAACTGTCACATTTCTGAGATTTATTTTTTAGATAATTTCTATAAATATTAATTTTTCACGCTAAGAAGACACAGTCATAGAAATTTGTAATGTAAAATCTGAATTTGAACTAATCAATATTAACATGCATTGATTCATAGATGTGGATCATTATTTACCATATTTCATAAATTTATAAGCTATCATTATTGGTATTAATATTTATTTAAAATTAAACGTCATAATGCGTATTTTTTTTCTTCTCATGTACGAATTCCATGTTTGCGAAGTTTAATGAATTTATGCTTGTCGTCAACGAAATATTTATTTGAAAACTGGGAGAAAATTCTTTCGCATTTTATTATGTAGCTACATTTCTAAACGTATGATTTCTAAATAACTAAACGGTAAAGAAGAATTAATAATTATTTAGACTAAGTAACTAAGATTTGCATTAAACAAATGAATAAATTGCAATCCGATTGGAGAATCAAACTCCTTGATCTAACATCAGCGACATTATCTGTATGTCAAAGATAAAAGATAATTGAGAGAAAATAACCAACTAATCAAGTTACTTTGTTTGCAATATTAGTTACAGAATGTAATTATTATGGTACTTATTTTAGCAATGAAAATATTTAAACCCAAAGATCTTATTTTGTACCATTAATTTATAAAAGAATATTTAATAAAGAGGCTTATTTTATAAGCCTCAGATGTGAACAAATGCCAAACAAAACTTTTATCAGAAGCTCGCATGTTTCTGTGTTATTGATATACATAAAACTCACTTCTGTTATTCATTCTATTATGGTTATATTTCATTGATTTCAAGTGAAAATAAATACAAACATGGACATGTGTCTTGAAAAAATATTTCACTTACAGCTGGGAAAAAATATTTCTCTCCTTCCGAAAGTGAAAGGAAGAAGCATAAATAAATTATTTCAGTATATTTTCCTCTTTGTATTCTATTTCTATTCTTTTCTAAAGCTTTTTCACTATTATCCATCTGTAACAGGTGTTTCAGAAATCTCAGTGAAGTTGCAATAACAAAACGTATATTTGTGATAAAATATAACATGTTATTCTCCATTCGATCGTTATTCTGACAAAATAATAAAAATAACAGTAAATAAATCTTTGTGTTTTCCCTTCTTTGAGTAGAATTCTGCACTACAGCTCTTTAGTTTACTTAAGATCTGTAGTTTTGCTATCTGGCTTTATAATACATAGAACGCTGGGCAAGCATAATTGCGAATTCTCATTACTGTACCCATATGAAAACTTTTGAAGTCCGTGCCTGATCAAACGGCAGGTTGTCAGTTTAGGATAATAGCTAAGTTTTTTAAATGCTTGAAATTGAGTTAAATATCCAGAGAAATTAATGTCTAAAAAATACAGGTCCCATCTATAGTATCGGAGAAAGGTTATGCCGATAAAAAGAAGAAATAGCACTGGTTATTGTTAAAACAACCTCTGGGATTTAAGAATTTCAAATTTAAGTAAAGGACACATCCGAGAATGATTGAACAAATGCTCAAGAACAATGAAGTTTTCATGCTTAAAGCTTTATCACTCCAATGCTATTTGGATACAAATGACTCGAGCATTAGCAAATAAAGAAAAAGTAAAGTATAAAATGTAAGAGCAGGGAAGGATACACAATAGTGAGCAAGAAAAATCAATGTATATAGAAATTTGCAATAGAATGTGTATTGACAATCCTAGGTATGTGGGCCTATAAACATAAGCGATAAGTGATAAGTGACGGAGGATGCGAGCACCACCCCTCTACCATAGCGGTTAATTGGTATAGCGCCACGTCCCCCTTGTCTAGAGCACCCCAAGATGGTATGGGGAAGGGTGAGGGGCCACATGAACCCCTGACACCAGTCACCGATTTAAAATACAGTGCCATACAAGGGCCTTGGCAGATAGTACATTGCCACACAATATTATTTTGGTTTATACAGCATGTTACAGTTGAGGTACATATTACGTAGAATGACGTTTTACAAATAAGGTACATAGTACATAATCTTACATATACAAAGACAAATAAATATACAAAGACAAATATACAAAGACAAATACATTTAAAATATGCATATTACATTACATTAATTTGATTATGTGCATGGGAATATTTCAGATATAGGAAATTATATTAAGATTTACATGTGATCCAAGGGCAATATCGTGTTGCAATGGTTCGTATGTCTTACATCAGAACTTATGACATGTAAATTATGCATACATTATACGTTATATACATTATACTGATATATTATACATTATACTGATGCATTATACACTATACTGTTACATTATACACTATACTGATACATTATACATTATACACTATACTGTTACATTATACATTATACACTATGCTGCTATATACATTATACTATATATTATATACACTATACTAATATATACATAATACTGATATATTATACATTTAGCTGAGATACATAGCACAGTTGAGTTTTTATTATATATGCATGGTTTTATACTGACCATTTATACACCAATATACTCACAATAACTCAATGTGTACTCAATATATGTACATTGTAATAATTGTGCATGTTAGAAATAGCACGAAATATACTATGTCTTGTTTTGCATCGACCTGAATAGTATGCTTGTATGCTGCTGCACACCTTTAGGCTGTTTGACACAGATCTGTGCCAAGCGCAGAGTTTATCCATTACTTTTGTTAGTTTGTATATGAAATGATGTTGCTTTATAAGAAATTTACAGAACGCTTGGCGATTGGTCTGCGGGATGGGTATATGTAGTCCAGTTGTTAGTGACATGTTGTGACATAGTGTTCCGGAGATCCCACTTCTCCGCAGCTGCATATATCTGTTTCACTGATGCCGCGTTTTGCAAAGTACTCCGGGAAGGGACCAATCCCCGTAATGTAGCGTATGAGCTGTGGATTACTTATAGTCTTTCCCGGATCAACATATGATAGGTGATAGTAAATTCTGCGTCCTGTCTCTCCTTGGTCCCATTCTTCCTGACATTTAGACCTAGCGTGGAGTCTCAAGGATTTTTTGAGGTGGGATATGGGCCAGGGGATGTTGACTAGACCTGAAGTTCCACCTAGAGCCGCGTCCTTAGCTAGACTGTCTGCCATCTCATTTCCTACATGTGCCTTAGTCCATTCCAGCATGTAGGACTGTCCATTGTTCTCTCGCAATCTTTGTTGTATGGATGCTATGGTGGGTGATGAATGTTCCGCATTATTAATGGCGTGTAAAACGGATAGACTGTCTGTCTCAATGGTTTCTTCCCTAATTTGTTTTTGTTGTAGATATTGTATAGCCTGTTCCATGGCTATAGCTTCACTTTGGAAAACACTATTAAAGTCCCTAAGGGCTCCTTGCCATTTGTGTATTTATTATTGGTGGACACAAGGCAACGAAGGCACTGCTAACTTTTTTGTCACAAACTTTTAGTCTTTTTTTAGAGCCGTCAGTATACACTGTGATATCTGACGGTTGTTTCCAATACCGTAGTGATACCCTTGATTCGGACGCCTCTGCCCTTCGTGCTGGGATGAATGTTTGCAGGTTTGTGGCCTGTGGTTCGAAATCCTCTGGTAGAAAAAGCTCGTCGTCAAAGGTTACTGGACGATTTCAGTTGTTTGACGAGCTGCCGTGCGGCTTCTTCTTCGATACGTATGTGTAGAGGAAGCAATCCTGCTACTGCGTTTAATGCGGATGATGATGTCGTGCGATAAGCTTTATAATATTAAGGGCGAAAGGTCTTTGTACAGTAGATAGGTGCCTTATCTTTCTGCCTTGCATGGGGTAGGCCCATATCGCTGCGCTGTAGGATGCTATTTTCTCCACTACTGTTAAGGTAGAGTGTCTTTTGTATGTGGGGGTTTAATCCCCATTGAAAGCCTTGATGTCGACGTAGTTGTTTTGCGATGATGGTTGTACGCTGTTTGATGTCTAATATGTGGGGTATTCACGTTATTGAACGTGATGTTCCATAAATGTGGTCCGGCACATGAGCCCTGTGGGCAGCCTCTTGTTTGATCTTTTTATCTTTTTGGATGATTCCGCTGTTGTGGATTACTATTAAGCGGCGTTCTGTGAGATAGTGGCACAATGTATGGTAGATGTTGGATGGACAGTTTGCCTGGCGTAGTGCATGCTTGATGGCCGGCCACCATAGAGAATCGAAAGCACTCCCTCCGAAGGTCGATACTTATCAATGCTGTATGGAGGCCGTTGTTTCTGTTATGCAAAATTGATTCTTTGATGTCATGCAGTGCGTTCAGTGTTGAGGATCCTGTTCGAAATCCGTACTGCCTTGAGCTGAGATATTGCATTTGGTGTAGGTGGTGTCTTAGCCGGTTCATAAGTAGCTTTTCATAAATTTTTCCCAAGGCTGCGAGTAGACATATCGGCCGATATGAACCAGGATCTGTGGGGTCTCGGTTTTTCTTTAGAAAGAAAACCACCTGGCCGATCTTAAAAGCTCTGGGAAAGGTACCTGTGACCAGAAGTTTATTGAAGTAAACTACGAAGAACGTGAGATGTGCCGTCATGGCGACTTTTGTAATGGCGTAATTAATCCCGTCTGGGCCGGGAGCTTTCTTTCGTGGGAGTTTACGTAAGATTTGTTTGATTTCAAGGTGATTGAATTCTGCATCTGCTGGAGCTGTTGTATTGGTGTCGCTATCCTTATTGCTGCATGCTGAACAGTGTCATCCGCCGCATTGTCCTGACTAAATACTGTGTCCCTAACTCTTTCCAACGTGTCTCTTCCAATGATAAAATTGACTGGTGTACCAATGTTTTCTTTCGTATCCCTAGCATTCGAATGTTAAATTGTATATAATTGTCTGAATTAAGAAATATCTTATAATTGTACAGCTAAGATGTATGTTTATGTAGACTATTTATTTTTCTGAAAACAATAATTGTAGCCCTGGTCACAGGAATTTTTATAGAACTGTGTAAAATTGCGTGTTTAAAATCAATATTAATGGCTGAAGTATGTCGCATAGGACTGATTGTAAATTACCTGCGATAAATGTATGACGTATGTATTAGAAGAAAAATTGTAAATCCAGACAATGTATTGAAACCTCTGTTGCACACTGGTCTTGTTTGCCCATGTATCTCTTTGCTTTAAGAGTCAGTAATTGCCGTCTGACTTGCCACCCACCCCGGTTGCGGTGAAGCGGGTAGTACATAGTTTTCGGAGGCAGAGGCTTTAACCTGTGTAAGGCAGTCTGCTAGACTGCAAGGCAACGGAGGCCCTGTTCCCTGGCGTATAATAATAATAATAATAATAATAATAATAATACAGTGGCACCCAAAATAAAAGGTGGTGGATGATGATTCTTCACAACCAGAATTTGGCGATTCGGTCCCCTAATCCTTAGTCGCCCTTAAAGGAGCATTTATATAAGGTATTTTGTCCCTCCTTTCTGCATACGTTCGTGGTGTAACGGTAGTACACTCGGTACATATTCAAGAGTTCCAGGTTCAAGTCCCGGCGAGGTCGCTGATAATTTTTCACGTATCCTGCTTCAAAAATCCTAATGACTTTACATGTCTCACAACGTAATTTTCACACAGTCCGAATGCATGCTAGATGGCTTTTCAATCAGAATTATATAATATTGGTAGTTAAATCTTATGTTAGTAGTATGACACTTATATTAGTAGAATTCAGAGATATTTAATAACCAACAGTAGATTTTTATAGTATTTCCAAATATATATTTCATATCCTTTTAAAATTAGCCTTTTCCCTTCCTGCAGTTCTGCCTTAATGGAAATTAACTGTATGTCAGTGTGGTTTATTACGGCACTGACAGAGCCTAATAAGCTTAACGGCTATCCCTTTCATGTATTGACCCTGGTCATTTATAAAATATAAAGAAAATTTAATGAAGCTCAAAATGTTTCCTCAATTCGCAAAACTTCAGAAAATTTCTCGGAATTAGCAAAAATAAAAATTATGGGTATTGTTTCTGCACTTGTCACGGTTTTTTTGATGATCTATTGATTGAAGTTAAAAGAGGGAAGCATCAAATTTAAAGATTTCTTTTATAATACATTTTGGTTTTGCGTTAGAGGTTAATTTTATTTCGAATATATTTTTTTTAAAAAAAATTCTATATGTAAATTTTTAAAATTTATAATGCGCGAAACATTTGAGGATTTTTATTACATGTCTCTTATGCACATTTTAAAATTTATCATTTGTTTATTTACAATTTTTATTTCAGATACACTATAATATGGCATATCTATTTAAAAGTAAAGTATATATATATATATAATCTTTTATTCATACAATATGATTTGTTTCGAGTTTGAGTATCGTATAGTGGCATTGTATGGTGGAGTGGTGTCGCAGGCGATGCCATCAGACTGGCATCGTATAGTGTTCAGCGATGAATCCCGCTTCACTCTTAAAGCAGATGACCACCGTGTTCGTATCTGGACAGGCCGGGGCCAGCGGCCAAAGTCATACAGCCACAGCCCCTGGTGTGATGGTGGGAGGCGCTATTTCTTATGACAGCAGGTCATCTTTAGTCATCCTCCGTACATCTTTAACAGCTCAACGATGTTTGATACCTGCGGCCGGTTGCATTACCTTTCATGGCACGTCATCCTGGGACTATTTTCGAACAAGATAATGCCAGGCCGTATACCGCTCGCATATATCTAGACTGTAGATATTCTTCCTTGGCCAGCAGTATCACCAGACCTCTCACCAATCGGCCATGTCTGGGACATTGAGGAGCTAAAGTTTTGAGAGCTAATTGTTCAAAAACTACTCGTGCGATTTTTATAAAAATTGTCAGTTAGGCATAATTGGAATTTTAAAACCGAAATATGGAAAGAAATTGGCATGCCATTTTAGAAAAAGTCCGATTTTTGTGCCAAAATAACGATATTAGAACAACGCTGTATATAAATCTAATACATATCCTAAGTCACGCTTTCGAGACATGAAAAACGCAACAAAGAAGACTTGAAAAACGCAACAAGTTGAATTTCGTCAGATGGCTCATTAGAACGTGAGATATAGAACTGTCCCTTTTTTTTTTCTTTTTTTGCGCAGTACGTAAATTAAACATATAATCAAACTGAATACTTATTATGTACAAATTTCTTTAGAACCTCCCTCCCCCATGAGTACCAAATAGACGCCTATGCCTTAAAATTCAAATGTAAAATGTATTAGGCACTATGATTTCTGTCTTGAATGGCATTTATAGTCGTAACTTAGGTGAATTACTGAGTTTAAAAATCCTTATTTCTTTCAAAATATATAATAAGTAAATCACTCGTCGAGTCCTCGCAGATGCTTTTGTAAGACTATTTCGGTATAGATTAGCATTGTGTTTCCGCTGTTCACTTGCTGTGTGCGGTACCCTTCAGCTATGAAGGTCATTTACTATATACGCTCAATGATATTTGTCCCAATACATTTAGTATATATGTAGTATAAGTGCAAATATGTTGTAGGATCCTATTGTAACTGGAAGCTTGTGATTTAGTCCTGCAGACCCTGCTTTATTGCTAGCGATCTATTGCTGAGTTTGAAACAATCACAAAGCCGGAAGAAGATTAAAGTAACCATTTTATTTAACGTGAATAGAAAGGCACTGCTTATGCTAAAAAGGAGTTTCCGCTATGTTGCAGATATTTAAATTAACATAATGGAAAATTAAATTCAAATGTAGATTTTTTTGGAGACTGAAAGTAAAATAGGCTAATTAAGCTGGCTCAGAATTTAACGATTGGTATTTAAAAAATATCGGCTATAAAAACGCTAAAGACCGAATACCACTTACGCAGAGCTGGTATTATTAAGTAACAGCAAGACGTTGTTGCCAGAAAATCTAATCTAAATATTCAGATTCCTTAGCTTAAATGCACGAAAAACTAATTTGCATTCTGGTGAGGGCTACGGTAAGTAGAAGTTTTAGTAAATACAGAAATCATAATAATAGTTTAACGAACATAAAATACTTTGCAATGTGCACCATAAGCTTTGCCTAAATATTTAAAGCTGTGTATTAAGGAAGAAAAGAGACCAAGTTCTAACAACAAATTGACATAATAATTGACTTCAGATATGTTTCTCATAAATGTTTCAAGAACTCCGAAATATTGAGGTCAAATCTTCAAAATTTAAGAGACTTTTGATGGATGGTAGTTTATCTTCCTCAGACATTTCTCGTACCAATGCGTAAATGATATCAGTTCCAATGGAATAGGCTTCATAAAATATATCTGAAAAGGAATTGCATTTCTGATAAAGAAATCTTATTAGATAATAATTCTGACGCGA